GAACCTTTGGATAGCGTGTCGCTCCGCCGTTCTGGTCCACCCCGCCTCGTCGCGACACGCTATTCACTTCCCCGTCCCGAGGCGTCCACGCTACCTGGACAAGGACAGTTATCGAACGGAGCGGGAGTAGTGCGAGACGTTCCCAACGCGGTCTAAGTTCGCAGTAGCAGTTGCTGCAACGGCGCCAAGGTTTTGGAAAGTCAGAGCTGGGTTGCGCTGTAGTCGACGTATGCTCTGCAACGTGCGCGCCCGCCGCTGCGCCAGCTGCTCAGGCTGCTCCGGTCACGTGGAGCAGGCCCGTGGAGGATGGTGCACGGTCGGCTGGCGAAAGTTGGGGGCGGCGAGCTCACAGCCTCTGTGCTTGCATAGGCCGCACTCGGTAGCGAGCTGTGAGTGGTGTCGATTGCCGACGCCGTTGTGGCTCGTACGAGGGCGAGCGCTGGGATGCTGGGCTTTCTACGAGCTTCTCATCAAAGTAGCTGATGCAACGCCTGTGGCGAGCAGTCAGCGGGGAGCGGTGCGTGAGGCCCGCCACGCGGCCGTGGGCACGAACTTGCGGGCGACGGTGGAGCTATCTGAAGCCTTGGGCGCAGTCGGCTCCCTCCGCATCCGTGCCCTGTTGATCGTTGGCGTGACGAGCAGATGGCCCAAAGAGACTACGCAGGCAGGCTGCTGGGAAGCGGGCCACGTGGCAGCACAGTGCTAACTCTTGCTGGAGCGTCCTTGTCCCCGTCGTTGTGTTCGTTGCCCCCGTCTACCCCCTGCACCTTCTCGATGATCCTCCCATCGGTTTGGATCGGGTCGATCGGGTGGGTTCTCGATCGAAGCCAAGTGTTCGGCGCTCTGGGGTGGGCAGGGCCGCTTGGACTGGGATGTGGGTCGGCCTGCCCGTCGTGGAGGAAGACGACGTCGTGGGAAGTCATGGCCCGAACTCGCACCCGGTCTTCCTCCAGCCTTTCTCTCCATCCCGCGTGATCCGTGAGGGCTCCAGGGCCCGAGCCGGGCCGGACAGCCCCACCGTGGTTTTTCCAAGGTGCCCGGGCCCTTGGCCGGTGATCGGCGTTTGGATGTTCAGGCTCCCAGCGGGTATTGCCGGGAGTGCCCCTGGCCCAGGGGTGCCCCCCAGGATTCCCAAGGAGGCCCCGACGGCCTCCAGAGCACCCCGCACGAGGCCCAGACGGCCCGAGGGCCTCCGGAATGGAGCGGCAAGCCGGAGGCATGCTGGGCCAGGGGGCACCCTCCGCAGCCCCCGGTCCAAGCTCAGGACATGGCGTTCGAGGGCCTGTGCTCGTGGGAGTCCTCGCGCGCCAAGGAGAGGCTGGGGCGCCCCTCCCGCTGCAGATTGAAGTCGGGGGCCACGCGTCCGTCATCAGTCGGCGGCGCGCCAGAGGGGGTGGTGTCAGGGGGAGGACCTGATGAGAAGGCCCCCCCTCTTCTCAGAAGGGACGGGGGCGCACAGGATGGTTTTGACGGGCAGGTCCCTTCTGAGAGAACGCTGCCAGAGCAAGGAACTTGATCCTGGGACCCGGTCACTCCCCCTTCTCCCCTCGTCGGGGTCGTCGTCCTCTTCTTCCTCTTCCTTCTCCTTCGGATTCGTATGGCTGCAGTGCCGATCCCAGAGCACGCTGTGTGCTGCTTGTGAGACCAGTCTGCTCCCCCAGGTTGGGTTGTGTTGTTTCTTCTCCCTCCCTTTTCTCAGCGACAGACACGTGCTATCATCATTCACTGAGCTGGGACCAGGGCGTAGAAAAGGGTGCGTCCCGATGTCCGATGGCCCACGTCGCCCTAGCCCCTTGGGGCCCACTCTTTCGGCCCACTTCCAATCCCTGCCGACGCCCCTTCCAGCCCCCTTCCAGCCCACTTCTACCCCCTCCCGACGATCGGGAGGAGGGAGTGAGAGTTTCGGTGGCCCCCTGTCACTGGACTGTCAGCGACCAGTCAGTGACCTGTCAGTGATCTGTCAGTCGCCTGTTAGTGGCCTGCTAGGGGCCTGTCAAGGACTTGTTACTTGATTTGTCAGTGACACGTCAGGGAGCTTTCAGTGAAGCTGTCAGTGACCTGTCAGTGGATTTGTCAGTAATCTGTCAATGACCTGTCACTTGACCCGACAGGACCAGGCAGCAACCTATCAGTTGACATATCAGCGACCTGTCAGTGACCTGCCAGTTGACCTGTCAGTGACCTTGCAGTAACCTATCAATGACCTGTCAGTGTCGTGCAAGGGGACCTGTGAGGTCCCTGACAGGACCCCGAGAGGTCTCCGGACAGGTCAGTTACAGGTCCTTGAGATCTCATTGGCAGGTCGCCGACAGATCAACTGACTGACAAGCCACAGACAGATTACTGACAGGTCACTGGCAAGTTTTCGACAGATCAATGACAGGTGACTGGCCACTGACAGGTCACTGGTCCCTGGCAGGCTCACTGACAGATCCAATTGCAGGTCCACCGACAGGACACTGACAGGTCGCTCACATGTCCCTTACTGACAGGCCACTGGCAAGTCACTGACAAATTGTTGGCAGGTCACTGGCAAAGCATGGCAAGTCACTGACAGTCTTCTGACAAGGGACAAGGGTGGATGGGTGGATGGGGAGAGGGGTTTGGTGGTCCAAGGGAGGTCACGATCGCGAGCCATGAGGGGGTCCAGGGGGGCGGCATGGGGAGGGGTGTTCGGGGATCAGGGAGCCGGGGTTGGAGGTCACGGGGAGGTGGTCGAACGTACCAAGCTGTCCCCCCTCCCCCCTTGTATGTATATTCAATCACTTTTGCGTTCTGGATCATGACAATTGCCTCGTTGTCGTTTTGTGTTGCGTTCCATGGCCCCTGGGAGGAGCAGGCTGAGGGGGACTTAGCGGGGGTGCATGGGACAGCAGTGTTGTTCCGACCCAGCGGGTGATGATGATGATAATGATGACGATGATATTAATGATGATAATGATAATAGTAATAACAGTAATACTAATCATAATCACGATCATGAACATGATCATTATCATAAGCACGATAATGGTCATGCGCATGATGATCATGGTGATGATGCTGCTAATTATGATGGTGGTGTTAATGGCAATGAGGATAATGGTGATGGCGATGATGACGCTGATGGTGGTCATGGTGATACTGGTGATGATGATGATGATGATGATGATGATGATGATGGTGGTGGTGGTGATGATGATGTTGACGATGGTGATGATATTGATGATGGTGATGATTGTGACGATACCGATGGTGATGATAATGCTGATGGTGGTGATTGCGATGGTTATGATGATGCTGATGCTGATGCTGCTGCTGATGATGATTATGACGATGCTTGTGACTCTAATGATACTGCTGATGCTGATGATGCCGATGATGAGGACGATGTCAACGATGATGATGATGATGATAATGGTGATGCTGATGATGCTGATGATGATGATGCTGACGATGATGATGATGATGATGATGATGATGATGCTGATGATGATGATGACGATGACGATGCTTATGACGGTAATAGTGATGGTGATTGTGATTATGATGATCATGACGGTGGTGGTGGTGATGATGACGATGTCGATGACGATGACAGTGGTAAGGATGGTGGTGATGATGTCGATTGTTGTGATGATATTGATGTTGCTGCTAATGATACTGTTGATGATGTTGGTGATCATGGTGATGATGATCCTGATGATGATGCTGATGATGATGATGGTGGTGGTGGTGATGGTGGTTTTGGGGGGTGTAGTGGCGTTGATGGTGGTGGTTATGACGAGGGTGATGGTGGCGTCGATGACGATGTTGATGATGCAGATGATGAGGATGACGATGATGCTGCTGATGCTGATGATGATGACGATGATGATGATGATGATGATGATGATGATGATGATGATGATGATGATAATGATGATAATGATGCTGCTGATGATGATGAGGATGATGAGGATGAGGATGAGGATGAGGGGGAGGAGGAGGCAAGCGGACAGGGTCGAGGCGAAGCCAGCGAAGGAGGAACGGGGCTACTACTGATGACGATAAACATGATGATGAGGAGGAGGAGAAGGAGGAGGATGATGAGGATGATGAGGATGATGATGATGATGATGATGATGAGGAGGAGGAGGAGGAGGAGGAGGAGAAAGAGCGCAGGGGGAAAAGAAGGAGGCGTGGTTCGGGAGGTTTCGGAGGTTTTAGGGGTTCCAGGGTATGCTGCATGATCCCCCTCCTCTTCCTCCTTCTGCCCCTTCTGCTCATCCTCCTCATCCTCCCTGGGAGGACGGTGGGGATGTGGAGATGAGGAGGGGATGTCAACAAGTATGCCCGTTCGCCTCGCGAGAGTGACAAGGATGACCTGTGACCGGGCCAATGTCGAGCAAACACCCACTCGGTACGTCCGAAAGGGGACCCCTAGTCGCCACTTCTGCACTTGACGTGAAGGCTCCTAGTGATGGCCTCCTCCATCCTTCCTCATCTTCCTTCCCCCCGAACCTCCTCACGCGCGCGCGGGCAGCAGGAGGAGGAGAGGTGAGGAGGGCAGGGCAGCTGGCTTTCAGATGGTTCCAGGCCTCCCGACTGGGACCATAGTGGATGGGGTCGGAGGATCTCGCCGCATCGCCGATGCAGTGGCGATGTGGTGCATTCTTTGGACCCCACTTGCCCTGACACCATTTGAGGAAACCATCAGAGATGCCTGAGGGCAGATTTTGAGTTGGTGTCGACCATGACATGCGGTCTCGCTTGAGGCGTTCACTGGCAGGTATGACTGTCCAGGGAGCCTTCGGCCCTAGCCTCGACAGGGGCAACCGTCGTGGAACATTTCGCCAGGGCAGCACTGGTACATGCAGACCAGGGCACCTCTCTCCAGCAAAGTGTCCGTGCACGTTCGGCGTCATCGCAGTCCACTGCAAGGGTTATGATTTTCCAGCCTACTTCAGCTTTGATCACCAGAAAGAATTTCGAGCACCAGACAAGTACCGAAACTCTAGGATTTCCACGTGTCGGGCCCTGGAGGACACTCGTCCGACACCGTTTCGACGCTCCTCCGACACTTTTCCGGGTGCTCGAAATCATTTTTGGGATGTGGTTCTGAAGTACGATGGGAGCAACATGGCGCCGGGGCTTCTCACCACTGTTTCCATGCTCTCTCGGCTGCTGCATGCGGATTGATGGTGCCGCGCGCGTGGTTCGCAGTGGACCTCGAGTGGACCGGGTGCTGCGTGTCCCTCGCGGGCGAGGCGTGGCGCCCGGGAGCTTTCCGCTCACGCGCGAAACATCTGCTGCAGGTCTCGTGCGTGGGCGAGCTGGCGTGAGCTGTGGCTGTCTCAAGACTGGTGGGACTGTTTTCCACCACCGCCACCACAAGTTGGAGGGGGGAAGGAGGTGGAGGAGGAGGAGGAGGAATAAGAAGAGGAAGAGGAAGAGGAGGAGGAGGGGAAGGAGGAGAAGGAGGAGGAGGAGGAGGAGGAGGAGGAGGACCCCCTCCCCCTCCTACTTATGGTGGTGGCGGTGGAAAACAAGCCCTCCAAAGACGATGAGGTCCACATCAGTGGCTGCCTCGCCTCGGCAAGACGGGGGGGGGCATCTGCAGCCTCTCTGGCTCAGCAGAGCCGACGGCACGAGCACGCCGCCCCGGGCCTGATAGGACTGCGCAGGGCCCTCCCTGGCGATGGGGGGCGGTGCCACGGACGCGGCGAAGATGCTGCAGGGCTCCGACGGCCGAGGGACGCAGAAGGCGATGCCCTCGGCGGAGGTGGGTGCCCCGCGCACCGACTTCTTCTGGGACTCCTCCGACGAGCCGCACGCGACGCGGCGTGCGGCCATCCTGAGGGCCCACCCCGAGGTGGCCAAGCTGCAGGGCCCCGAGTGGAGGTCAAAGTGGATTTGCCTGCTCCTGCTGGTGGCTCCCCAGATATGGCTCTCCTGGGCCACGCAGGACCTGCACTGGATTCCGTACCTCGTGATCGCCTACGTCTTCGGGGCGACCATCACTCAGTCCCTGTTTCTTGCCATCCACGAGCTTGCGCACAATCTGTTTTTCAAGAAGCCGCTCTACAATAGGCTGTTCTCGATGCTGGCCAACCTGCCGATCGGCATCCCGTACTGCGTCCCGTTCCGGGGCTACCACTTAGAACACCACAAGTACCAGGGCATCGACGGCATTGACACCGACATACCCAGCAACCTCGAAGCCAGGTTCATCCGGGGGCCGATCACGAAGACCGTATGGTGCTCCTGCCAGATCCTTACGTACGCTCTGCGGCCGATGTTCATCAAGCCGCAGGAGATCACTGGGATGCATGTGTTGAACTGGGCCGTGCAGATCGCCTTCGACGCCGCCGTCTTGCACTTCTGGGGCTGGAGGCCGCTCTTCTACTTCGTGCTCTGCATCCTTCTGGCCGGGGGCCTGCACCCTTGCGCAGGCCACTTCATCTCCGAACACTACGTGTTCCCGCACCTGGCTGCCACGCAGGAGACCTACTCCTACTACGGCCCACTGAACCTTTTGACCTGGAATGTCGGCTACCACAACGAGCACCACGATTTTTGCTACGTGCCCTGGTCCAGGCTGCCAGAACTCAGGAAGATCGCCCCGGAGTTCTACGACAACCTCGCCGTCTGTGATTCGTGGATTGGCGTGATCTGGGATTACATTATGCGCGACGATATGGGCCCGTACAGCCGCGTCAAGCGGATGCCGAAAGACGACAAGTTTGCGTCCGTCCTGAAGGCGACGAAAGCCGAGTGAGTGAGCGAGTCCGACGGCAGTGGGACCGCAGCTTGCACAGGGTGCGCTGAGTAGGCTCTGGCAGACTTCGTCCAGACCGCGCTGTCTGTACCGAATCTTCCGTTACTGTGGGCTGTGACCGCGGCGAAGTCGGGCTGCCGAAGGGCAGCTCGCCGTCGAGTCGACACAGTGGCGCGCTTTGTGGTAACGGCGCACGTCGCTGCCTCTACAGACGCGGAAATTGGCCGGCTGCCATTCCTCCCCCGCGCGTGGGTGCCAAAGAGCTTCCACCGCTCCGGCGAGGCGTGGCAGCCGGCGGCCCCGCGAGAGTTCCACGAGATCTTCTGATGGCCCAGCGGGCGCCACGGGCTGCGGCTGCGCCCTGGCGCGCTACGGGCTGCGGCAGCGGCGAGCAACAAAACCAGATTGAGAGGGGCAAGCAATCTCGCTTCCCTCAGGACATTGGCTGGGAGTGGGGCTCATCCAGGGCAAAGTCCATGAGGGAGCGCGCCCTCGAGCTCTGGAGCGAGGCGGAGACCTGCCTTGTCTTGCCAGGCCCGCCGTTCTACAGCATCCCGCTTCCGAGCAGTATCTCGTCCCAATGTCTTTTTTCTGAGCCGTCGCACGTCATAGCGCCACTTCCGCTCACACCTTCGCCCGCCTCTCGCCATGCGAGCTCCGTTCCAGGAGCTCGTCTTTGTGGTCTAGGGCCGGAGACTCTAGGGACTGGCAGGAAGGGGGGGATCCCGGCCTTGGAGCAGGTGCGGGGTCGCCTCTGCATTAGCATCTCCTCGCGGCTTTGGGATTGAGAAACGTTGGCCAGGCTCCCTTGTCAAGGGGCAGTGTCTTCTGCTCACGCAGCCAACTTGACCGTGAGGACCCTGATGGCCAATGATGCGGGACCTCACCTGGTCGCGAGGTCTCGATCGCCTCGCGCTCCGCGTCGTGCGCGTGGGGCGAATAGCCTCGCGCGCACGACATAGAGCTCAGGGCGCTCGGCAGCCGTGCCGTGTCGCGTCGTGGAGGGCGGTGGGGTGGCTGCGGTACCTGGCCGCCGCGCCGCATTTTAGAACCGATGGTGCACATTGTTTACACTGCTGGGCACATCGAACAGGCCCATTGAAATATCGTGCACAGTTGTTCCATAAACGCCCCGAGGCGGATCCGATTCGACGTGTCGGCAAAGATGCACCATGCCACTTGACATGTTCAGATTCCATCCGCGACAACAAGCACGTGATGAACAGCATGCCTCCTAAGATAACAGATATTCGGACCTAGCTGATGGTGGCGAGGGGTGAACCAGCACAGCGCGGTGATTCAAGGCCCAGGCATGTCAGCAGACATAGCGAGAGTCGGTAATTACATGTTGACGTTGCAGTTGCTTCACAGGTAGTACATACAACACCGACGACATGCTTACATGTTACACCCGGAATTCTTCACTGGCGGCAGATGCGACAGCGTTCACACAGCTAGCTGTTAGCCTCAGACAGGTAGCGGGTGGGGTATGGCGTATATCGTCGCCGCTCAAGTGTGCATCGGGGCGAAACAAGTGTTCGAAGCACCCGAGTCGCGCCCTAAGTAGGCCGCCACCTCAAAAGAAAAACCCATCGTGAGCCGAAGTTTGGTCGCATCAGTGGCACAGCTGCCAGAGGCACGCTGCCGCCGAGAGGGCCCCTCGCAGCCGGCCGTCCGCGCCCCAGCAGGCGATGGCGGGTACGAGCGGCGGCTGTACAGCATTATGAACGCCGGCTGCATCCCGGTCGTTCCCACAAGCCTGCGTGCACACTGGGAGCGTCGAAGAGGGTTGAGCACCAGGAGGTGCGCGCGCGTGTGTGTGTGTGTGTGTGCGTCTGTGTGTGTGTGTGTGCGGATATCATGGCCAGGCCCTGAAATCTGACCCCATGTTTCAGGCCCTCTTCTTTGGGCCATGGGGATCCCGCTCACAACGCCTTCGTCCTTTTCCGCTCTGCTTCTCGTTCTGGCGTCACCTTTCGTTGGCGGCGGCGCGCTTCTTGGGGCAATACCAGGGGCAGCAGGTTCGTTTCACAGTGGAATGTGTCATGCCCTCTTCTTCTTCCTCTTCTCCTTCTTATTATTATTCCTCATTATTATTATTCCTCTTCTCCTTCTTCGTATTATTCTTCTTTCTTTTTATTAGTATTCCTCTTCTTCTTCTTCATCTTCTTCTTATTGTCATGCAGCCCATGACCCCCCTCGTCCGCGCACGTGCCTCGGGCCATGATGCGCCTCCCCCCCGCCGTCGTGGGGCCCCACCTCTTCGGCGCACCCGAGCCCAGTAGCGGACAGGGCCTGAGGGGAGCGACGAGCGGTGCCCAGAGGAGTGCGGGGGAGAAGGCGGGGCGAGCGTGGCCACCCATCTTGGGCCTGGGATCAGAGTTTATGCTCTCCCGGCTGGGCCAGGACTACGCCGAGGCGAGGGGGGGGCACTCACGTGAGTCCGATTGACCCCGTTTGAAGTTGCGCACGGGTTGACTGGCTCGGGGCGAGTAAACGTCTGAGCGCGTATCCTCGTCAGCCTCCGCCTCCACCCGCTTCTCATGGCGCCATTCTCGCAGAGCGGATTTCGTTCGGAAAACGATTTCGTACCGGATTTCGGGTGAATTTCGCGCGGATTTTTTTTTGGGGGGGGCCAGGAATGAAGACTAAACAAACAAGAACGCGACATTCGTTTCGTTTTCCACGCAACGTTCCGGGCAGAAATCCACGCAGAAATCCGTTGCAGCACGTCTGCAAGGCTGGTGCGCTGACGCTTCCTCCGTTCCGTCCCATTTGCCGTTGGCCATACATAAGCATCGTGGCTGTTGCGTTCCTCCTCCTCCTTCTCCTCCTGCGGCCGGGGGGAGGCCGCGGGGTCTCGCGCAGGGCTTGACCAGGGAGGGGGGAGCGCTTGTGAGTGCCCTCCCCCCAAATTGGGGGGGGGGTCGGGTGTCCGGGGAGGGGGGGAGGGCCCTTTGAAGGGGGGGGGGCTCTTGGGTTGCGTGGCTGCCGGGGTGTGTAGCGCGGGTCTCGTCGCCGCGGGGCCCAACAGTGGCACCGCATCTGAACTTACAACCTACGTGGTGCAATATGTCAAGCAACAGTATGTGCGGTCCAGTACATGTTGTGCAACATGTGGTGTAGTTTAAGTGGTGCAGTTTAATTTCTGTTCGCAGTGAGTTGTCCACTCCACTGCTCGCGCAAACATCCCACCCACCCACCCGCAACTTGGTTTGCAAAATCTCTTAAGACCGTGACGGTGGGTACCAAATGGCACTTGGCAGCGACCGCGACGCCGACGACGACAGCGACAACGACGACGACGACGCCGCCGACAACGACTACGACGACACCGACGACGTCTCCAACGACTTCGACGACGCCGACAACGACGACGACGACGCCGACAACGACGACGACGACGACGCCGACGCCGACGACGACGACGATGACAACGACGACAACGATGACGACGCCGACGACGACGACAACGACGATACGACGACGACGACGACGACGTCAACGACGCCGACGACGACGACGACGACTGCGTCGACGACGACGACGCCGACGTCGACGACGACGAAGACGACGACGACGCCGACGCCGACGACGACGACGAAGACGACGACGCCGCCAACGAAGACGACGACGAGGGAGGAGGGAGGACGACGACGCGACAACGACGACAACGACGACAACGACGAGGGAGGAGGGAGGACGGCGACGACGCGAACGACGAAGAAGGAGGAAGGACGGCGACGCCGACGACGACAACGACGAGGGAGGAGGGAAGACGACGACGACGACGACGACGACGGCGACGAAATAGGAGGGACGACGACGAGACGCCGACGACGGACGACGACGACGACGAGGGAGGAGGAGGAAGGACGACCACGGCGACAACGACGACGGAAACGACCACGACGCCAAAGAGGACGACGATGACGAACACGGGGAAAGACAGAGGACGACGTAGGCGACGACGACGACGACGCGGGAGGAGGGAGGACGGCGACGACGACGACGACGCAAGAGCGCGCGCGCACGCTTTTGTTGAAAATCCGTGTTGTCAAACTTTGTGTTTTTGTAGGTTTTTTGGACACACGATGTTGAACTCCTTCCGAAACCGATGGGTTTTGAAGGATTTCGGCATACGCGCGCGACGACGCGCGCGTCTGCACTTCGTCCCATGTTTTGCAGAGGATTCTCGCGACGGCACACGCGCAAGGGCCTTCGACAGATTTCGACATGCGCGCGAAGCACGCTTGGTAGCATTTTGCGAAAATCTTTTAAAAACAACAGAAACGATGGTTTTCTTAAGATTTCGCAAGAGCTCGCGCGTAAGCTTTTTTAGCAAATCAGTGTTGCGCAACCCTGTGTTTTTGTAGGTTTTTTGGAAACTCGATTGCGAAATCCTTCCGACACCGAAGGTTTTTGGAGGATTTCGGCATGCTCGCGCGACGACGCGCGCGTGCGCACTTCGTCCCAATTGTTGCAAGGGGCTCGTGAACAAAGTCTTGCTTTAAAGCAACAAGTGTCCACGCGTATCGTGTTTCACAAGAGAACCTCAGGGGGAGCGGTACCGGCCCCCCTGGGATAGTGTAAATTCATATTTTGGATGGACATGTGGTCATAATCATATATTGTTTACATGCCCGAAAGGGGGCGGACAACGCCGGGGGTGGGTGGGGGGTAGAGTTGATTCTTTGTTTTGAAAGGCGAATCTACGTAGCGCAATCTATGCTGTGCAATCTATGTTGTGAGCAATCTACGTGGTGCAGTGTGCTGCAGTTTATTGTTGCGGCGAGGAGGCGGCGACGGGGCGGCGACGGCGGCGACAAGTTGGCGCATCCGACAAGCGAGCCCAGACGGCGGGCGGCGACGAGGCGGCGACGGGGAGGCGACAGCGGCAACAAGGCGGCGGACCCGCAAAACGAGCCCAGACGACGGCCTGCGACGCGGCGGCCGACCCGACAAACAAGCCCAGACGACGGGCGGCGACGAGGCGGCGACGGGGCGGCAACAAGGCGACGAACCCGACAAACGAGCCCAGTCCCTTCGAAAACACACAAGAAACCCTAAGTGCAAGCAATGTTCAGGGATTAGCGCCAGCGCCAGGCTGGTGCGACAGTGGAGCCTATATGATCCTGGGGCGAGGGTTCACAGGCCCCCCCCCACCCAGATGTTGGGGGCCCCCAAACGGGGTGGTGACCGCACCGTGTGGTGAGTCTGTAGGGATTCGGGATCACCGCACGGTTTTGGGACTCGGGTCGTTCTCCGAAGACGTCTCGGGCGACTGGGGCATCCGAGGTCCCAAAGCCGTGCGTCGACGGACCGAGCGGTGAGGCCTTGGGATCTCGAGGTCACCGCGCGGCCTGTCACCGCACCGTTTCGGGACTCCGAGCGCCCAGATGGCATGGGCCCCAGGGCCCCAGACGGCAGAGGAGGGCTTGGTGCCGGTCGCCGCGCGGCCCAGCCCCGGGCACCGGTCC